CCCCCCCCCCCAAAGAGCTAAAGGAAATTCATGCAAGTATAGTAGTAATCGGCTTGCACAGACGGTAATTTCAAAGGCGACGTAAGAGGAAGTGAGACAACTCCTCGAGGCACGCCGGCCTCAGTCTTGGCCTCGTTCTAGACAGAAGTGTCTGGGTTCGCCTTTTCTGCACTTATGGGGGCATTGTGCACTGTCACACTGACGGCCTGCATGAGTCTTCACCGGGAGATGCTTCTGGGTGGGTCGGGCTGCCCTGCTCACGGACAGGAGCTCTGTGTACCGTTTCATGACAGCCTCACGGGAAAGAGGTTGCGGGCCACGGATCGGGGGATGTTTTCATTAGAAGGCTTTTAAGAGTTCTACGTCTAGCATTGTCCACTGTACAATTCTTTAGCCCAGTGTCATATTCGAAGACCAAACTAAGCAGTCTGTTAGGGTGACATCCACCCCAGGGACACAGCAGCTCTCTCAAGACCCCGACTCTACAGACAGTCTATGTTGGGTTCTTCTCATAAAAGGAAAAATGACAGAGCTATCAAAGCGGTCATAGAATAGGTTTTATCTTTTAAAAAAATACTTTAAAATACAATGTGTTTGCACATATATAACTGAATCTTCCGTCTGAAATGCCTTAGTGAATAGTCAGAACAATCCCGATTAATACTATTCCCCCTTCTAGGAAATGATGCTGCCTGGGCCTTGCCTTTCACGATGAGCTTTTTCCCTTTCTCATCAAAATTTATAAAATGAAAGGAAACTGGGCAGATGTGTAAAGGAGGCAACATACCATGCATGGCAAGAGAACTAGGTGTGCCGTCACTCACCCCAGCGATCTGGGTTTCAGAACATCCTCCACAGGAGATGGAGCTCTTGTGAGCAGCGCCCCCCCATGTCAGGGTGGGGAGAGGGCTGAACCAGGCCTGAGGAGTCCCTTCGGGACCCGCCCCACCTTGAGCACCAAACACCCGGGGACTTCCTGGCAAGCCACCTCACTCTCAGACCTTGATTTTCTCACACCTTAGCCTGAGATCCGACATTCCCTCCTGAGCTCTATCGTGCAGAATGAGGCCCTTAGCCTGAAGATCCGACATTCCCTCCTGAGCTCTATTGTGCAGGGATCCTAAGTCACCACGTGGCACCAGCTAACTCTGCTAATCTGTCTCTCACGGAGGTTTATTTTCGCACAACACTCAGTTTGATTCAACACAGTATTTTCCTCTCCCCAAAGTTGCTGGTTTCCAAAGCTACACAATGCCATGTGTGTGTATGGCAGGCAATGGGGAAGCTTCTCGACGCCCCGGCATTAAGCAACATTTCCTCAGAGTTTAACTAAGCAAGGCGGCGTGTGACGTGCCTTGAATGTTAAACGAGGAGGAAGCTGCAGTTATCCTCAAACAGCGATCAGAGAGCGTGGGGCTGCCTTGTTTAGCCGGAGCTATGCTGGTACAGCATCAGGAAGCAGCCAGTAAAAAATCTGCGCTCCGGGGGGGGCAGAGGACACTGGAACCACAACTAGGGCAGCTGTGACACCCCTTCCCACCTGGCCATCTTCAGTGGCAGGGCATATTTCCCTCTTTATCCATAGCCACACTTTATATTTACAGAGCGTCCAGCGCTTTTCAGGGTACTTTCTCAATAGCTCATCGGCTCTGAGAATCTACGAGTAATCACGTGAGTCAGAGGGAACAGTATTTCTCTTCCCATTTCACAGATGAGAAAACAAGAGGCTGAGACTTGCTTGCGAAAGAGCTAGTAACGGACAAAGCTGAGCTTGAGCCCAGGGATCCTGATGCCCGTGCCAGACTGGATTCCAGCACAGCGTGACCTCCCTGCTAGAAAGAGCTAGTGGTACAGTGTTAACTGCGGACTAGGAAATGTGTCTTCCTGAGGGTTCCATCCTGGAGAGGAATCATTCAGTTCTTCTGAAATGTACACAATTGTGAGGTTGCTACTGCTCAAGCAAAGCAGCATTCTCAGATAAAGACCCTGTGTGGGGCACAGGCCGATCAAAGGGGCTTACCGTGAAAGTTGCAGAGTTATAAGACACAACAATCACTAAATCTGTATTTGGGGAAACCCCCAAATAGGTGGTGTTTGCTTTCACTTTTGGTATAAAACCTAGGGACATCTTACCTGCAATTTTGGAATGAAACACACTAGAAATGATATGCTGCGATATATGCCCAACTCCAGGCCCAAAGACAGTGTCCAGAAAACGTTTTCTAAATTACAGATGCTCGTTCTTCCAGCCGGGAAGGCCCAGGGTACCTGTGATCGTCTGTGGAGGCTCCGCACAGCACACTGGGCTCCTGCTTGCTTTCTGGGAGCTTGGCCCTGACGTGTGCTCGGCCCTCAGCTTGCGGGCTGCCTCCTTGTCACAGCTCTGTGTGACTCATAGTTACATTCTTCCCTCTGGGGCAAGGACCTGGATGCTACCTTCTCGGACAAGCTGGGCCTCTGCCAAATAATATAAGAATGGTGGGACTACACAGGATATTTCCGAAAACTGTTTTTGTTTTCATGGAAGCCTTTCAAGGGCAATTTAAATGTGTTACCGTACGCCCAAATCAATGAGGGTAGGGATGTGACTTACTCTTACAGGACAGGGGAAAAGCCCAGACCAGAGATACGTGAGCTCAGCTCTGGGTAAGCCAGCAGCCCCGTGCGCCGACCTGTGATGTCAGGACCCGCAGCTAACCAAGGCGCTGGCTGCAAGCTGAGCTCAAGGGCACAGGTGCTGCTCTACCCCAAGTGCCTCTGTGAGCATCCCTTCGTAGTCAAATGCCTGACTCTTTTGCTGAGTGAGCTTCAGTGTGCTTCCAGGAGTGAATCCCCTGTCTTTGTCACCTCTGCTGTTTGGGAGCCACCGGGATGTCTTAGAGCTGAGCAGTAACATCCCTGCTGGGGCTGGGAAATGAAGCCTCTTCAGCTAGACCTTTCCTAATGTGGAGCAGGATGCTCTATTCCTGCAATCACCCACCCTGACCAGCAGTACCGGAGCCAGCCGAGTCATTCCTCGGGGACACCTGTCTCCCTGTCCTGGGTGGAATTACTTGGCAGGAAGAGCTTTCACCAACAGGACGGCTGACAACTGTTTCGCGCGATGGAGCATCTAGGGTGTCTGGGAGCTTTGTTGACAAGAGGTTACCATGGCAACAGAGCCTGCTGAAGAGCCCCCAGGCCGGGAGCGCACTCCCTGCTTCTGCTCACCGGCTGGAGCACTGTCACCAGAAACTACAGGACAGGCCACATGAGACACAGGGAAGGACAGTTTCCTCTACACCAGCCAACACAGTGCTTGGTTTTCATGCCTGCTTTTTCTACTGTTTGACACAAAGCTACGGAACACTCACCAATCAGTCTCCTATGTTTTGCTAAAGCTCCTGGCGCCCGTGGGCGGGACGATGGCCGTCGGACCCGGGTGCTGGCAGTCCGCTGGCATTCACCCTGTGCAGACCCTTGTCTTCCATTTGCATGCAATGGTTTGAGTACCCGGGAGTCCTGCCTCGTTCCATCTCAGCCCACCACATCCCCTAAGGGCCTTGGACCCAGGGAGGAAACATCACACAGCCAGCCACACAGCAAAAGGAGGGGCGGGAGGGCAGGGGGTGCTGACCTCTAGACTGAAGTAGCTCTGGCCTGCCTGCTGGCAGCTCCCAGCGTCCCCATCAGCCCGGCGGTGCAGCTGTTCCGGCTCTTCCCCGCGTTCCTGACCCGGCTGCCACTCCGGCTGACCTCTCAGTTTGGACTGTTAGGTGCATGGGAGGGATTTGGTTTGCTTTGGTTTGGTTTTGAATTTTAAATAAACAACAAAGGGGAAGGGCGTGGTGGTGGGGGGGGCAGGGAGTGGGGCTCGAGAAAACAAAAGTGGGCAAGGCAGACAACTGAAACCACCACCAGACGAGGAAAAGCATGAACAGACACAGCGCCGTACAAGAGTGACGAGGACAGAGCCAAAATGGGGATGCGCAAGACGATGGGCGAGAGATCTGGAAAGCAAAAAGAGAAACAGAGGGGGGAAGAAGGCAGAACACTGGTTATGAGGCGCATGCAATGGGGATGCGTGAATCAGACTGAACTGCAAGCACACACCCACGAAGGATACGGAAACAAGGCTCCTCCTTCCTCGCTTGTGGTCGAGCAGCAAAAGCCATAATCCAGGAGGCAGCTGGGTCATGCACCCAAGGGCGATGCATAGGAAAGCAGTCCTTGGAAGGCCACTCCACTCCGCCATACCCTCGGCTCACGGAGGGCAGCGACTTTCTCCATCAGAGCCATCCTTCTCCCGGAGGCCGGCTCCTCTCCCCACTCTGGCTCATCTTCCAGCAGGAGCCGCTGGGCCTGGCTGCCTAGGGCTTTGCAGAACTGTACTGTGTCCCTCCAGCAATCAACCCAAGCAGGGATGCAAACGCTCCTGAGCGAGTCTGCTAAGTATCCTGACTGTGAAATGAGTTTGTACTTTGTTTTTAAACTCCTCTGCTTCTTCATCGGGACAGCTGGTCGTTTGAGACACCAAAAAAAAGGAGAAAGGACGGACTGCGTCGATCCCTATCGCTTCCATTGGGGTGAGCCTTGTGTCATGAGGGAGGGCCTCTAAGCCAAGAGCAGCGGCGCAGTTTAAAAAAGAAAAAAAAAAAAGAGCGGAAAAAGGAAAAAGAAACAAGGAAATCAAAGAAAACTAAAAAAAAAAAAGAAAAAAAAAGAAAAGAAACCCAGCCAATAGAAAGGATTTGGTTGACACTTGAGGCTTTAGTACAATGCAGGTTTGAAATCATAACCAAGCAGCCGTGAGCAGAATGAGTTCAAGTGCAGCAATGCCAGCGAGAAGGAGGAAGAGCAAAACGGAGCAGGGAGGCAGAGCCAGGAGCCCCCTTACCTGCAGGTCCGGGACCAGCTCCTTGCCCAGGTTCCCGACGGGGGAGTCCCGGGATACAGAGGTCACAGTGGAGAGAAAGCTGGAAGACTCCGTGAGGTGGGGCAGGGGGGACAGGCCCTCCAGGCGCTCCCTCAGGCCGTCCCCGATCCGGTTCACCTGCTCCAGGAAGGCCTGCAGCTCCTTCCTGAAAGCCTTCATCCTCGAGTTGATGGTCCCCAGCAGCGGGGGCTCCTTCCTGCCCCCCTCGCCCATCTCCCCTGCCCCCTGGATGCCAGACCCCGGCGAGGCCTCGCCACCGCCCTGCAGCCCCACGTCGTCCCCGAAGCCGGCGGTGTCTGTGATGAGGCGCTCCACGGTCCGCTCGAGGCGCTCGGCCTCGTGCTTTATGCTCGCCAGGCACTCGGTGTCCTCCCTGGCCCTCAGGAGCTCGGCTGGACACGGATCGCTCGCCTCTGACGGCTTCCCGCTGCCAAAGCCCGACGTCTTCTCGCACATGTCCTCTGAGTCGCTCTCGCCGCCGATAGGGCCTTCCCGTTTGGGCTGGGGCTGGCGGCCTTCCTCCCCGTCGCTCTCCTTCTTGCCCTGGTCGCTGTCCGCGTCACTGTCCCGGGGGCTTGGGGCACGCAGGCCCAGGTGGGCGGCCAGGTCGTAGCGCTGCACGTTGGACAGGAGCACCCGGTTCTCATACTGCAGTTTCAGCACCTTCCCGCTTAGCTCGTTGATCTGCAGCCGGGCTGACTTCAGCTCCTCCTGCAGAGGTGCCCCGCTGCCCACGCCCTTGCCTGTGCCGTCCGCCAGCCACCCGGGCTCCGGCCGGGGCTCAAACTTGACCTTGCTCAGCTCATGGGTCAGCTGCCGGTTGTGGTCTTCGATCTCGGATATGGACCTCCGGAGCAGCTCCGCTTCCTCCTGCACAAACTGCAGGTGCCTGCGGAGCTCCGTCGAGGACTCCAGGGAGTCGCCGAAGGGTGAGGTAGGAATGCTTGGGGCGTGGTCCCGGCCCGCACCCTCTCGCTCATACTGGACCCGCAGGTCCTCCATTTCTGCTTTGAGGCCTCGGTTCTCCACCTCCAGCTCCACGATCTTGCGGCCTAAGATGTTGGCTTCTTCCTCAACCAACTTGAGTCGCAGCTTCAGCTCGGCCTCCCTGGTGCTGGGCGGCCCGCCCGCTTCCCCCGTGGGGAGAGGGCTGTCCACGTCACCGTAGACGGCCTTGTACTTCTGGAGCTCCTGTTCCAGCTCGTCCTTCTCCCTCCCCAGCTTGGCCATCTTTTTACGCATCAGGGAGCCTTCCTCTTTGGCAAACTGAAGCTGGCACTTCAAATCGGCACTGTCATCCTGCCAGGAGAGAACAGCCCGAGAGAAGGGTTATTTGAAAATACCAAATGTTCGTGTTTTTGATGATTTCCCTTGCACCTCGCCCCCGACGCGCACACAAACACAAAACAACCATCTTTCTGTCAGTGCGTCGAGTTACAGGTAGAAGGAGCCGACAAAGCCGAGGTGAGCCCAGGCCTTCACGTAGGGGACACCGCAAAGGCCTTCGGTCTGTTGCTTTCTCACAGAAACCAAAGAAACCAAACGATTCATTTGGGGGGAAACATGCACATGGAATCCATCACACAGGTGATGAGTGAAGAGGGCAGAAAACAGAATGAAACCCAGTGTCTGTTAGCAGCACAAAGGTTCGTCCTTATTTTGTGGGTCCAATCCGACTAATCGCGAGCACCGGTGAGAGAGGCCAGAACCCCTCACTAAGCCCGGTGTAGCAGACAGGCTTCGGTAGCTACTTCCACGTGTTGCCACTCACTTCCTCCACAGTGTGGACCTCCCTCATCTACAGTGGCCAGCAATCCACAGGTATTACCAGGACAGAGAGGTCCTAGTCAGAGCCCTGCATTCTATGGATTTGCTGAGACCCTGAGACGTGGCAATTCAGCTCTACTCCTGCCCTCGTGTCCCCACCCCCACCATATCACAAGGATGACAGAAGGATGACAACACAGGATGATAGGCAGGAGGCGGTTTTGGAAGTCGAGGTGTGGAGCAAGTACCACGTGGTTAGGATGAATTGTGGTTGCAGACCTAACACCTGGGTTACTCACAACCTTTCACCAGGCAAGGGCAACATCAGAACTTTTGTTCTGTTCCGCTCCCTTCACTTGCTGTAACACAGCAGGAAATTAAACTCAGAAACCCAAGGGTGGAGTTAAGTGTTCCAAAACTGGAGAAGTGGTTCTCACTGGTAGAAGATTCTGGAGGGTCCCTGAAGCAGACTCTCTGCTGCTGAAAGCCCTCACTGTGCGGTTGAGGTCCAGAAGGCACGTTTTGAACCATTTGGAAAGTTGATTGTGCCTTCTCAATGCAGATCTCAATGCCTCGGAACTACATGAGCTCTGATACAGGCCTGCACAAATGTTTTACTAGGCACGTCCAGCGAATGGGAAAAATGACCAATTTCATGAATCATTCCTGTTTGGCTACCAGAAGTTTCAAAAGACTGCCGTGGGGGCAAAGACTTCAGCAAAGGCTTCCCCATCACCCCGAGAGTCTCAACAACATGGTCCATGGTAGCCATACTCCATCCGCCCCAGGAGAAGGAGAGTCATCAAACCAATCTCTAGAATACGTCAACCCTCTTGGGGAGAACGAACTTTTAGATCATTGTTTTGTGCTCAAATCGTCTAGTGGAGTTAGATGCAGCTTTCACACTCCTTCTCTGCCATGTTCTTGCCACACGCTCACCCTTGGGCAGTAAGATACAGAAATAGCCACATTGGTGCCTCCTGTCTTCCTTTTACCCTGCCTAGATCCCTCCTCCTGCACCCCAAGATCATGGAAGGAAAAAAAAAAACAACCCTGATGCGACAGGGAAGACTCAGGAAAAATCTAAGGCCAATCTGTGAGCCAGTGCCATATGGAGAGCAGGCCCTGGTGCTCCCTGGGTGCCTTTGGAGGGACAGGCTCTCACTGCCACCCTTTGAGCAAAGGGTAAATCAGTCCTGCCAGAAGTGGGTTCCACTTCTGCCCCTTCTGTCCATGACACCGTGGGCTGATCACAGAGCCCTGGTGAATCTGTCTCCTTATGCCTAAAGCAAGATCCTCACTCAATGACAAGGTCATTGTGAAGGTCAAACGGGATAACGTACTGCACAAATTGTACATAGTAGCACCCTGAAATTACCTTTCCTCTTTGTCTGAAGAGTAATTAATATTGGAAAAATGGGTCAGTAACTCTGGCTTTTGTCTTCTTTGTGCATTAGGAGAATAATGCAAATGTCACTGACAGGAGAGTACGGTATTTGTGCTCTAAGAACCCAATACACTAAGGATTTGGTTTGGTTTTGGTCAAGCAGACATGAAAAGGGTTTTTGTGACCAACTGGTAATAAAGCTGTCTGCCCACTCATACTGAGCAAAATGGATTATCATCACTGCTGGGGTAACAAGAGATCTATTTTAAAGGGCCTGCATAGAACACATAGGCTGTAAAAGACATTGTTTTTAATTCTAATACTAAGGATAAAAGCATGCTTATTTGTGGATTCATTCATTCTTTCAGTGAACGTTGAGAATCTACTCTGCACCAGAAATGGGCATGTTACTTTTAAATGACCCCAGCTTCTTAAAACTTTTGAAAGCAGATCAAAAGCACCCTTTCAATTATTTGATAAACATAGATTTGCAAGAAATCTATGCATCCAAATACACAGAGAGGTCTCTGCTGTTCACATGAAGGAATGGAGTTTTAATACGCAAACGCACATACCAGTGGAGACAGATGGTCAACGCTTTGTAAATGGTTTAGTTTGGGAGTGAAAGCCTAGGATAGGAAGGCATCGCAGTGCCCTCAGCCCCAGCATTAACTTGGTAGCCAGTGTGTGTCCTTTGCCCTTAAATGACCCCATCTCCACCTTGAACCAGAGAAATTCACCTTTTGTGCCTGAAAGCGGCAGCTGATATCATGGAAGAGAGTGTCACCAGCCTCAAGGGAACCCCACCATCTGCCCACCTTGAGCCTGGGCAGACCCAAGGAGGGGCAAGACCCCCTGCTGTGACCCATGCCCTGACGCCACTTCTGTGGAAACCTGCAGCTGGTGAGGCCTCGGTACGGTGGAGGCCAGGCCTGAAACGTGGGGATAAGGGGCAAGGTGACCTGCACAGCTCAGGAAGTTTTTGTCTCAGACCAAAATCTGAAAGTCTCACGTGATCTTCCCTGAGGGTCTTCCCCCAAAAGTTGAACCGAGAAACTGAGGAAAGGGGTAAGATCTCTGAGAGGCGCACGCAACCCGGGTCTTCCCCAAGGGTTCGGAAATGCTCAACTCTAAATGCTTAGTGTAGAAAGTCCCAAAGAGCCTTCACATCACCTCGATTTCTGGAAACCTTAAACCTCACACCCCCTTTCCCCTGCCCACCATGACCCACAAATCTGACTGAAACCAAAACCATTCCCCTCCTTTTTCTTGAACCTAGACCCCAGTCAGTTAAAGAAGAAGATTCTATGACATACCCTAAGGAGGGTCTGATTGGTAGATTACCTGATTGATAAAGTATCCAAAAAAAATCTTCTTGTTCCTTAAAGACAGAAACTACACACACACACACACACACACACACACACCCCGGGAATTCTAACACGATTAAAGCATGCTGCCATTTCTACCCAACGCCCATGCACTACCAGGCCTGCGACCGATGCCAAAGCAGTTTTCCAAAGAAAGACAATCTCTGAAGCCAAGGGAGTGTGTGTGTTTAGCAAAAGGGTCAGACTTGCTCCCTCGGGTCCAGGCGGCTGGAGCTAGGCTCTGCGCCTGCTGGTTCCCATTGAGCGGGGGAGGGGGGAGCAGGGAGCTGGGCTTCACCTCTTCTGGGGGCACGGAGCCACTCCTTCTCATAAGATGGGGAATCACAGCCTCAGCTAGAGCAGCAGGAGGCTGGGTCCCCCCATCTTATCTCGTAACCATACACTTTCTAAGACTCTGCCAGCATTCTGGGGGAGGGGTCTAGGCTGAATCCTAAGCTGAAGGGTATCAAGCTCTGGTTTCAAGAGACCATCAGATAGCTCCAGGAACGCAGTATGAGAGCAGAAGGTCCAGTCACGCTTTCCACACGACACAGGTCCTGTGGCAGGCAGAGAAGGCAAGCACGGGACGGAGGGGAAGACACACACGGGACCACCACCACCACCAGCAGCAGCAGCAGCTGGAAAGGCCTTGTCAAGCAACAAAAATATATCGCTCTGGGTATATATTCTTTGGCTTGCAAGTCTGACGTCTAGCCAGCACCCCAAGCGCTGACTACTCACGTTCCTACCTTGCGCCGGGGTGCCGGTTTCCTTTGAGTTTTGGCTGCAGACCTGCAGTTTCCAAGGCGCTCGGTTCCACCGCTCTGCTGGACAGAAACTCCTTTCTCAATGGTACCGCGGGCGGAGGGGGAACGTAACGCATTCCCGGTGCCCGGAATATTTCTCAGACACTCCTGAGAGGCAGTGACGGCCGTTCACAGCCTGGGTTACCCACAGGTGAAGGCAGTGCTATGTTCCGTAGCAGGGAAGCTGTTACCCTTTGAAGGGAGATCTTCCCTGCTCAAGAGCCAGGGAGCTGAAGCACACTCAAGGCCCGGGACACTCCAAGCACCCAGCACAGGGACTGCAGATTTTACTTTCCCTGTTACTAGTGGATGCCAAAGTGAGGTCAGGGGAGGAGAGAGGGCAGGAGAGAAAGGTTAATCTTTGGCATTCCTGCTGTTCACACGGCCCAGTCCTCTGTGAAGGACATTCTGGGCATCAGTGAGTTTGGATAATGGCAAAACCAAAGGGAATCAAGAGTGGAGTTCACGGGGCAGGTCAACGGAGCTCTCAGTTACCCGGACTTCTTGAGTCTCTCTAATTACTACTTGCTCCGATAACTCAGGGAGCTGATGCCCCACGAATGCCTTTGTTCTCTCCAACACCTCATACTAGAGGCATTTCTTTTTTTCAAAAAAAGAAGGGAGGAATCCAGTAAAGCCTGTGTTGAGAACCGCTCAGAAAATTCTGCAGGACACAAACCGTGTACAAAGAAAGGGCTACGTTTTTACCATCTTCTGGCGAGAACATCTCACTTTCAGTAAGGACAGTTTAAGATACTGTTCAGCTTACCCGTTAAACAACAACAACAAACAAAAAAGCCAATGTTCAAAACAATGCCTTATGAATGAACGAGCCAACACCTCACTAGCTGACCTATTTTACTGTGTGAATGACTGACGGCCAAAATACGTTTTACCAGTTGTGGATGCTGCCAGAGAGCCCTGAATTACACAAAATTATGTTTTGCACAGAGCCAGTCTGTTCTTGTCTTTCTTGAAGAAGTCACCAGCTTATCAGTGTGAGAAACAAAAAAGGAGGAGTTGGTGGTTTAGAAAGAACATTTTCACCCCATGGAGGTTTTGAGCAAGTCCAAATTTGTTGGCAGGTAATGTTTCTTTGAATATTTTAAAGGCAATGTTCTCACGCTTTTGAGACCATTCAAAATGAGGTGACAGCCCCTCGAGGAGGTGTAACATTAGAATGATACTTCTGCTTACCTGGTTCAAGGTTTTCTTTTCTTTGTACGTTTCCCGGCTGCCTCTTCTTTTCAGGGAACTCTGAAATAGATCCAAGGGACATTCTGTTACGGGGAGGTCATGTGCAGGAGCTGGACTAGGCACACGCCGTCCCCACTGGTAGGGGACACACACAATGGATGGAGGTCCCTTTTTTCCCATGGGAATCAAGGAACCACTCAGAGTCAATGTTTATTTATTTGTTTCTTAAATCTTTATTTATTTTTGAGAGAGAGTGCAAGCAGGGGAGGGGCAAAGAGAGAGGGAGACAGAATCCGAAGCAGGCTCCAGGCTTTATTTATTTCTGTAAATCTTTATTTATTTTTGAGAGACAGAGAGAGAGAGAGAGTGCGAGGCAAGGAAAAAGTGCAAGCAGGGGAGGGGCAGAGAGAGAGGGAGACAGAATCCAAAGCAGGCTCCAGGCTCTGAGCTGACAGCACAGAGCCCTGCGTGGGGCTCGAACTCACAGACAGTGAACTCATGACCTGAGCCAAAGTTGGAGGCTTAACCGACGGATCCACCCAGGCGCCCCTCAGAGTCACTGTTTAAATGCTGTAGAAGAAGCCTGGCGAGGTCTCTGAACCCTAATGATTGTGTTTGGAATATTCTTCAATTATTCAGTTTAATGAAAAGGAAGGGTGGTTTGGACGATTTGTAACAGTGGGAAGAAGAGAGGAGAGAGGTAGGTAGTTTGGGAAATAGACACATGGTATTTCTGGAGCTGCCCTGCCTTCCTAATTAGGCTTTGTTGGGGCTAATATCAAAGTTAAACGCTGTTTCCTGAGTGCCTAAGGGTAAATGGCCAGATAACAAAGTGGTAGGAAGGAAGAGAAGGGTGGTGCAGGTTTATGGAGAACACCTAATCTAGGATGCAACAGTCTTCAGCCACAGCCCCCTCCAATTCATGACTAACCCTACATCTTTAAGGTCTTGTAAGGCCATAACTTATTCATGTGAAGTGGCCTTGGCCGTGTCCTTCAGTGGGCTGGGTCCCTGCCTAGTTTCACATACAATGCAGTACACCTATGCCTGCTTTCGGCAAGATATGTGCCTGAAATACTAAAATAAAGTATGCTAAAATAAAGTATGAATACCGCAAGGACTGGCGGGAAGAGCCAGAAACATCCTAGGGGGAGACAGAGGGATGTGAAACCTGAAAAGATTAACGGAATCCTGAGACAAGTCAGGAGAAGGCAGTTTGGAAAGCTAAAGACTTGGGGGCTTTCACTCAGACCCTGGTAAGCCTGCGACTGGGAAGGAGTCTCCCTGCCCTCCTTGAGGCGTGGACCTGGATGCTTGGATCATCTGGGAGTTCATCTCAAGGGTGCTCAGAGCCTCTTTGCTTCATTCCTTTGCTGCAACCCATCTGCCAAAATAGCCTAGGAAGGAGGCTCTCACACGAGTCACTTACATCACAGTCAGACCTACGGTAATGAACTCAGTTCTGTTTGCATTCAAAGTGCCCTCACTCACAGATGGCCAGGCAGTGCCCTTCACTGGATGAAATTTATCAAACAATTAAAATTCCAGCCCCTTAGCCTCTTAGGAGGCCGGAGGCCAGAGGCCTAAAGGGGGGGGGGAGGTAATTGAGAGAAGGGTGAGAAAGTTACAGAATCAGCAGGGAGTGTGGGCACTCCCTGGTCAACCAAGGCGGATGTGTGGAAGCTTATTTCTAAATCCCAGCTGCAGAAGCAGCTTTACTTCCTTTAGCCTTTTTGGTAAAAGCAGGGTCAAACTACAAAGAGAACCAGCTTTCTCCAACAGGTTATGTGAAGCCCGTCTTAGGGCTTGAGATTTACCACCCATAGTATGTAGGCTTTCCAAGATTCTTCATGCTGAAGTGAAGAGTTTCTTTGATTTGAATGAGCTGAGCGAGATGAACACTTCTGGCGATTTACTACAGAGGAGAGTTCCAATAAAGAAGCAGGGAGAGAAACCATTCCCAAGGCTTCAATTTCTGGGATCTAATTCCAGGACCGAGGTCAGCGCAGTGAGCCCGTGGCTCTTCGAGTCACCCTGTACCACATCACCTTCTCCCTATGAGTGCAAAGCACATTCTGCACACAATGAAAGAAAAGTATCTGGAGGTGAGACGAAAGCTAGAAGTGGAGACAGAATAATTATGGTGTTGCATTTCGGTGGGGGAGGAAGGAGCACCTTCTGTGTGAGCCCTCCCGCTGGGAGGCAGCCAGTGGGGAGTCTGGACACAGATTCCTCCCACCAGCCTGATGGGTCTTTCCCCTCGCTGAGCCCTGAGTACAACTACCCGAGTCCCGTGATCCTTCTAGAGAATCGTGGAACAGATGGGGGGCCATGGGATCCCCAACACAGATCCCAGTTAAAGGGAGAACTACAATGAAAAACAATGCAAAGATTAAAATTAACCAGAAATTGGCAGGACCTAGATGAAAGAAACCATACAATTTTGGTGACAGATGTAAAGGAATGCTTGATGCTGATGAGAAGACCCTATTTTATAGAGATGTCACATTTCTCCCACATCATTGTTTAGTACGATGGCATTTTAACCAAATTCCTCTCTTTCCATATATTTACTGCAATGTGTATAAAAATATAATATACAAACAAATATACACGAAAAGTATGAGTATGTGTATATACACATGCATATGCACACACACACACATATCACACACACACACACACACACACACACTACTGTGTATACGTGAAGGAGGTAAGAGTGGGAAAAGACTTGACAAAATGACTCAAAAATTCATCTAGAACAGGGGTTGGCAATCTAAAGCCCTCGGGATAAATCAACCCACAGTGTGTTTTGTAAATGAGTTTCACTGGAGCACAGCCTTGTTTATTACCTCTTCTCCTGCTTTGCGCTACAAAAGCAGAGCTCAGTAGCAGTGACAAACCATATGGCCTGCAGAACCTGCAACATTTACTATCTGGCCCTTTTCAGAGAGTGTGCTGACCTCTGACCTAGAAAAATACATTGGTAAAAACAGCCAAGAACACTGAAAAGGAAGAATAATGACAGTAAGTTTGCACCCTCAGATGTAGAAATACAATATAACGGTTTGGAGCTGGTACCAAAAGTCAGATGAACAAAACAAAACAGCTCAGAGCAAAACAGCTCAGAAATAAAGTTGAGAGTATATGAGATTTTGAAAGTTGATACAAGTAGCATTTTATTAATGTTTATTTTATCTTTTGAGAGAGAGACAGGGCACAAGTGGGGGAGGAGCAGAGGGAGAGGGAGACACAGAACCCGAAGCAGGCTCCAGGCTGTGAGCTGTCAGCACAGAGCCCCACGCGGGCCTTGAACCCATGAACCGTGTGATCGTGACCTGAGCCAAAGTCGGATGCTCAACCGCTCAACCGACTGAACCACCCAGGCGCCCAGATACGGGTAGCATTTTAAAAGTGGGAGAAAGAACAGGCTATTTAGTATATGTTGGAGAAACAACTGGCTAACACAGGGGGAAAAATCAACACCATGTATCAAAAAAAATTCCAGATAAGTTAAATATCTAGATGTACGAATTCATAAAGGAACTAGGAAGAAAAGAGATGAATTTCTGTTTGTTTTGGGAGTATATCCTTTATACACAAAAGCCAAAACATCCAAGGGAAAGACTGAGTGGATTGGTAAGATATAAAATGTTTATGTATCAAAAGAAACCATTTACAGTATTAAAAAGCAAGTGGCAAAATGGGGGAAAAAAGATGTTTCTAGCACAAGGCAGACAAAAGACAATATTTTGTAAGAATGGAAAACCACTTTAATTAAAAAATAAGTGGCCAACAAACACATGATTACTAGCAATTGAAATAAAGTACCATTTTTTTCACGTAAAGGCTTACAGACCAAAAGACGTATGACCCCCCAGTGTTAGCAAGGGTCCACAGAGGAAGGCACTTCATCCAGATCAGTGAGAGTGGGGACTCCCCAGCATGTCAGGTGGGCAACTCAGCCTGGTAAAGGGACACACTGTGACCCAGGGATTCCACCTCTGAAAGTAACTAAGTGACGAAGTCCTGATGACTAAGTCCCTCACTCACCCAGCATGAATCCAGTACCTACTATGTTGCCTTGTCTGGGCAGCAGGGTAACAAGACTTTTTTTTTTTTTTCCTTAAGTTTATTTATTTTGAGAGAGGGAGAGAGACAGGGAGAGAGCTCGAGGGAGGAGCAGAGAGAGAGAGAATCCCAAGCAGGCTCTGCACAAACAGTGCAGAGCCTGACACAGGGCTTGAACCCACAAACCATGAGATCATGACCTGAGCCTAAATCAAGAGTTGGACGCTTAACCGACTGAGCCACCCAGGTGCCCCACAAGTGTTTGTTTTTAAGGAGCTTACATGAGAGTGTGAGGAGTCAGACGATAAGAAAGTAAACAAGAACAAAACAATTTCTAAGGATATTGGTCTAAGGAAACATGCAGAGATACATGGGAAGGTTTATGGGTAAGAATGCTTATCGCACTACCTTTGAAAACAGCAAATGAATGCTGCAGAGGGTATTAAAATGATGTTTTTGAAGAAAAAGAGGAAACACGATGCATTAAAAGAAAAAATGCAGGTTACAAACAGCATGTATTTTGTGATTTCAATTTACATCTAATAAAATATAAATATACGTATGTATTACATATGTATGTTAGAAAAGCAGACCAGAGAAGCATATATCTCATGTTAACAGCATTCATCGTCAGGTGACAGAATTCTGAGGGATACTAATTTTCTTTTCTTGTGGCTTTTTATAGTCTCCAAATTACTTATGGTGAGTATTATTTCCTTCATAATTAACAAGAAAAACCCAGGAAATTATTAAAGAGGTCAGAGAAAAGGGGCTGTCACCGATCTCCTATGTAGGATTACAGTGGTGCCTCATCAGAAGTTATTTGCCAGCTTCCTGGATCTATTTTTGTATGCTGACATTTTTTTTTTATTAGCCTGATGTTTCAGGTATAACACACACACACACACACACACACACACACACACACACGTGTGTGTGTGTATAACCTGTATGTACACTGGCTAAAAAGACCAGGAAACCTCCTG